GTTCCAAGAACCACAGCCAGTTGTTAGACGAAAAGCAGCAGCTGAAGCTCGAGAAAGAATTCACGCACAGCTTAGCTTCAGTAATGATGTTCGATATCACCCTATACCTAAGCTTCACAAGCAACCTTGAAGGCAAGTCCTACGCACCGTAGACGGACACGAAGTTGCTCCTATAACATTCAGTCCAAGGTCAACTCAGAACGAAAATCGAACAAAAATGGAAGAGGTGGAAGAGGTGGAAGAGGTAAATTAATTTTCCCTCCTTCTGAAAAAAAAACTAATATAATCAAAGACATCGTGAAGCGATTGAAAAAACAACTGACTAAACGTAATGACGGACCTGTCAGCAACAAAGGTTCGGTGAATTCAATTTACGATGAACCAAAGATCTTTGTCGGACCAGGAAATGTTTTACGATTGCCAAAACCAGGATTACAATACGTAATACTATATGATGCAAGCTATCATGGAACCGGTTTTATGCTAATGGTTATGCACCCAAACATGTACCCGAACCAGCAAAATCAGCCAATGGTACAAATGCATCCATCAGCACTATTACAACAGCCCCAGACTCATCCAACGCAACAATTTGTCGCAAATCAAGTGCCACAAGCTGAAACGCAAAATCCAAACGGACATTTCGTACCAATGGTGCTATCATCGGCCAAACTTTGCGACGTTTGTGGAAGTTTTAACCACATAGCAAATCAATGCTGGTGGCGACAGAAACCACAAGGACGCCGTCAAAACTTTCCAACCGAGCCAAAAAATTAATAAAGCCACTGAGTCAGCCCCTTAAATCATCTAAAACACCTAAATCATCATCGAACGAACCTTTTCAACCTGATGAGATAATCAGCCTTTACACAATTATTCCTGCGGAAGGGACAGTACTGACGTACACAAAAATACGTTTCTCACAGGGATTACAACGAAGAGCCCTGGTTGATACAGAAGCCTGCGGAAATGTTATTTCAAAACAGACATTTGAAGACCTAAAAGAGGAAAAAATGTTATTTCGCCCTCTTGAAGTAAACGAACCCAAACCTAAGAGAGTTAGAATGGCAGGAGGACAACAAGTCTCCATTGAAACTGAAGTAACATTAGAAATTGATTGGCAGGCATGACATGTATAGAATCATTTCTCGTTCTTCATGCAGCCAACTCAATAATTCTAGGAAATCCTTTCTACAAAAAACCTTATAAACTTCCATGTCTGTCCAAAGTATAATCTCCTGCATTTCAAAGATATGACTCTTCAAATCAACGAGATAAAACCTACAAACGAACCAAGAAGAGTCAATAGTGTGAAAAAATTCCCTTTGATTCTGACAAAACGTCAAACAATAGCCCCGCATCAGACAATTCTCGTAGAATGCTAGTTAGAAAACGTATGTCAGGAAATGAAAAAAACCACCGGAATCGTTAATTCCGCTCAGGAATTTGAAAAAAACTGTGAAATTGCGTTCATTTCTTCCATAAGCGAAGTGCTGAAAAACAACCTGTTGTACATCACAGCGTTTAACATCACCAATCATCACATTACTTTGCCTTTCAAAACCGAAATTGGGAAATTTTCAGTTCTGACTTTGAATGAAGCAGAAAGTTTATTCCCCATCGAACCTGAAATGATTGCATTTGCAAAAATGAATCACGCGGACGAAGATAGATTGACCTTTATGGAGAGTTTTAAGTGGGAGAATTCCGTGTTGACAGAAGACCAAAGGTCAAAAGTGGAAGATTTGCTTGTTGACTTTTCGGACATCTTCGCTAAACATAGATTCAATGTTGGGTACAATTCCGACCTCAAACTTAAACTAAAAACGGAAAACACACGACCTCTGTATACACAAGGACCACGTACGCCGATGCATTTGCGTCACGAATTGACAGTGGATATTGCCCTTATGCACTATTATGGACTTATAACAACATTGTCACATTCCAAATACAGCAGTCCTCTGTTTGCGCATCAAAAGCCATCGGGTAAATTGCGGATGTTGATTGACCTCAGGAGGATAAACCATTCACTCAAGAATGACTATATCAACAGCATTTTTCCCATCTCAAACATAACTGATGCATCAAACCACTTTGCAGGAAAGAGTTTGTTTACCAAGTTGGACTGTTCGCAAGCATACCATTGTGTGCAAATGGCCGATGACCTTTCAGTTCAACTCTTGGCGTTTAATTTTGGTTCACGAATTTACGCCTACAAATGCCTGACCCAGGGTCTAAGTAAATCAGTCACAGGATTTAGTTCATTTATCCGACACTACCTTGATCCATGCCTAGCTGCGGATTTATGTACACAGTTCATGGATGACATAGGAGTTGCAGTGAATAATTTTGATGAACTAATACCGACCCTTTCGAAAATCTTTGAATGTGTAAGGAAGTCAGAACTAAAACTGTCGCCAAATAAATGTGAAATAGAAACTCAACGAATGAAATTCCTCGGTAACATAATAACACCAGCAGGAGTGTCGCTTGAACAAGAGAAAGTTTCAAATTTCCTAAAGAAAATCAAAATACCACAAACTGTAAAACAGATTAAACGACTAATCGAATTTGAGCAATTCTTTCGGAAATATAAGCCAAGTTTAGGTGAAAAATTGATACCATTTTACCGTCTCCTCAGGAAAGACATTCCATTTCAAACCGATGATGAACATCATAAAAAGCTCGAAGTACTAAAACACGATTTAACCGAAGCAACGGATATAACATTGCGATTGCCAAAACCAGGATTACAATACGTAATACTATATGATGCAAGCTATCATGGAACCGGTTTTATGCTAATGGTTGAAGACTATGCAAAAACTGACAACAAAGGTGAAATGAAAACGTATGCATCAGTGTCTTTTGGTTCAAGACTCTTTAACACTGCACAACTGAAGTTCTCTATTTATTACAAAGAATTCTTAGCTTTGTACTTTGCTCTAGATGATTTCTCTCACTTCATCTGGGGATCATCAGAGCCAGTGATCATTTTAACTGATAATAGAAGCTTAAAACAATTTTTTCAACTAAGACAATTCCACCTTCGGTCTGGAACTTCTTGGATCGTGTCATGGCATTCAAAATCATCATCGCGCATATAGCTGGAAAAGCAACATATGCAGCAGAGTTTTTGTCTCGAGTTCAGACTGACCCATCAGCCTCTCTATCACTGAAGTTGACAGACAAAGTACCAGTACAAGAGATACAGATCGACAAAGTACCCGACGCATCACTAAATCTAGTACAAACAGTGAATGACGCTTTCCCTGAAACCCAAACGGAACTAATCGATGAAGCATTAAAAACTCAATTGCAAAAACTCGGTCTACTATACAAAACCTGCCTACGTGAGCTAATTGCTCAAGAAGATCCAGACACTCTAGCACCTCAGACGTTTGTTCGAATATCAAGACCAATCATAGCAGCAGTCCAATACCCGGATCCTGCAGATGTATTTTATGACCTGAATACGAGTCACTTGAAAACCGAGCAAGAAAAAGACCCCGACATAGAGCAAGTGAAGACCTGGAAACGTAATGAACAATTTCCCAATCTCACTTACGAAAACAGTCGCAGAAAGAAGTATGCCAAACAATTCAACCGGCTGATAATAGAAGAAAATGTACTGTATCGAAACTTCTACGACGACACGGGACAAGTGAAATACAAGCAAAACTGCTTTCTGAAACACCTTTTGAACGAGGTTGTGTATCGACTTCACAACTCTCGAACAGGTGGACATCTGGGAATGACGAGAACCAGAGAAGGGTTCCGAAACGATTCTACCTCCCAGGATTTACCGAATTCCTAACTAACACAATCAAGAACTGTTTAATGTGCTTGCAACTCAAAAGGGCAACTGCGAAATACCAAATACCTCCATTACAGCCAATCTCGTCATTACAATGCTTTTTAGGAGACATGATGCAAATTAATATAATTGAACCACTGAAGTCGCCAGTGTATAAATTTGTTCTAACTGGAATCGATATTTTCTCAAAATACTTGTTTGCAGCACCACTGACAAATGCGAGCGCCGATACAGTGTCGAGGGAGCTCATGAAAATTTTCTTCATGCCTAGTTACATACCGAAAAAAATACTCGCTGATCTCGGAAAGTCATTCACGTCTGAACTCATGCACGAATTGGCGACGTTGCTCGAAATTCAAATAAACCATGCGACTCTGAAACATCCGCAGACCAAAGGCCTTGTCGAACGATCTCAAGCCCAGTTTGAAAGAGTCCTAAAGCTGAACACTAATGAACAATGGTCTGACTGGCACAAGCATGTCCCATTGGCTACCTTCATCCACAATACTTCATACTCTTCATCAATTGGATGCTGCCCAAGCTGAATTTTCCATGGAAGAGGACCGACGAAACCACTTGATCCTCGCTTTTCAACAAAAGCAATGGAAGCAGTAACAGCAGAATCAGATTTTGTTACGGTAATGCAAGATGCGATGCTCGAAAAGTTCAAAGAAACGAAAAAGAATTTGATCTCTTCATACCATACGTATAGAGGATATTACGACCAAAAAGCATTTGCGCAGCCACTCCAAGTCCCCTCATTTTGTCTGCTGCTAAATCCTCTGTTGACTACGAAGTCAGACTTTGGAGGAAAATCAATGCAAGTCTGGATACCTCTATTCAGAGTTGAGAAAGTGTTAACAAATTCGAACAACATAATTCGGAAAGTTGGAACAACCTACACCCAATGCGTACACCGAATTCGTCTCAGAGCTGTTGACCACAACATCAACCAGACGATGTCGAACCAATAGATCCAGAGAAGTTTCAAACGGATCCATCACTCAGGAAATATTGAAGTGAACCAGGACTTTTTGACGATTACTTTCCAAGACTCTTAGACGACATCCAACCCGAGAGCAGCGGACCAAACAATGATCCGACTTCACCTGCACGAGTCCAACTGTCAGTACCTCTCAGATTACCTCTAGCCGCAGCACCTATACCAGTAGCACCAATTATGGCACCACCACCGGTACCGCTACCAATTGCAGCACTGCCGCCACCAGCACTTCTACCGGACCCAGTGCCAGATCCACCTCCCGAAGTAGCGCCCGAAGCCGTATATATACCTGAGCTACCACTCGCGGAACTACCAGCAGCACAGCCTATGGGTAACATTAATGAACGAGGCCCGGCAAAAGTAATAATTAGGGACTCTCACCCTGAAGGATACAATCTTCAAGAATTGTTCCAAGAACCACAGCCAGTTGTTAGACGAAAAGCAGCAGCTGAAGCTCGAGAAAGAATTCACGCACAGCTTAGCTTCAGTAATGATGTTCGATATCACCCTATACCTAAGCTTCACAAGCAACCTTGAAGGCAAGTCCTACGCACCGTAGACGGACACGAAGTTGCTCCTATAACATTCAGTCCAAGGTCAACTCAGAACGAAAATCGAACAAAAATGGAAGAGGTGGAAGAGGTGGAAGAGGTAAATTAATTTTCCCTCCTTCTGAAAAAAAAACTAATATAATCAAAGACATCGTGAAGCGATTGAAAAAACAACTGACTAAACGTAATGACGGACCTGTCAGCAACAAAGGTTCGGTGAATTCAATTTACGATGAACCAAAGATCTTTGTCGGACCAGGAAATGTTTTGCAGTTTCCGGGCTCTATAGCTCACTGTGTCTCAAGTGACTTCCAAATGACAAAAGGAGTAGCACAACAAATCAGCAGTGCCTATCCAGGTATCAGACAATCCCTACAAAGCCTTGAAACACTAATAGTTGGATCATCAGTTCCAGTCTCTTTGCCTTGGGAAAACAAGTCAATTTTCAATCTAGTTACAAGATCTCACTTCTTCGAAAAATTAAGCTACTACAATTTGTCACGAAGTCTCAATTGCATGAAGAAGCAGCTCCTGCAGAAAGGCATACGACAGATTGCCCTACCAAAGATTGGATGTGGACTCGACAAACTGAAAGAAAGTAGAGTTTTCAGCCTAAAAAGCGACATTTTCGAAAAAACAAACATCGAAATTTTTATTTATATATAAAGAAAAGTCGCGATATGGCCTAGTACCGTTCATGTTTTCATTATAACCATTGCCAGCACCAACAGCAGCCAATTGATGCTATCGAAGTTCGCGAATAACCACTTTGAAACGAAGAAAAAAAGGTATTTTGAGAAAATCGATTTTTTAACATCGAAGTTTCCCGAAAAACTGACACCATAGTCACTACGCACGAACGAAAACGATTTCAGACCCTTAAACCATGTTTCAACACCTATCTGGACAAACGTACGAAGTGGGTCCACTACCAGATCACAACTTCACGGGATCTCGAAAAATCCACCTGTTGCCCATGTTTAAGCATTACGAATAAAAAAGTTTTTCCTCCCCCATCAACGAGTGGAAGGAAATTCACACTTTTTGGGCTCAGTGATCATCAAAACACCAATGATGAACAGACACGACGTCGGTCCACTAGGAGGCATCAACTTGGCGAGATCTCGAAAAAACAACCTGTTGCCCATGTTTAAGCATTACGAATAAAAAAGTTTTTCCTCCCCCATCAATGAGTTGAATGAAATTCTAACTTTTTGGGCTCTGTGATCTCCAAAACACCAATGATAAACAGACACGACGTCGGTCCACTAGAAGACATCAACTTGGCGAGATCTCGAAAAAACAACCTGTTGCCCATGTTTAAGGATTACGAATAAAAAAGCTTTACTCCCCCATCAACGAGTGGAAGCAAATTAAAAATTTTTGGGCTCAGTGATCTCGAAAACACCAATGAGGAGCCTGCAAGAAGTGATTCCACTAGTAAGACACTTTTTCGAGATATAAATCAAATTGAAATATTAACATATATTAAGATAGGAGAAACAAGATAACACATTTCGATGGATACATTTTCAGAATTGCGAACAAAAAACTCGTTGAAAGTTGAAAATTTTAACTTTACAAAAAAATAAGTCTATCGTCACATTTCAGGGCGTCAGGCCACCAGAGTTACAAAAAACCCAAAGAAAGAAAATGAAAACACTTCTCAACTATCAGATGATATCTGAAAAAACAGTACAACTAATAAGCACGTACACCAAAGTACAAATTGCTTTACTAGCTGTCAACTTCGAAAATAAGATCGTTAATATTTTCGACAAAACAGAGCACTGTTTAGTTGTTGGAAACAAATTCACAATAATTGAGACTAACAGACGAAGAAAAACGCCCCTAGTCAAGTGAATGATTGAATTCAGCATCACTGAAACAAAATGCGAATGACATGCGAAAAACAACGAACGAAGAAAGCGATACGATAAAAAACAAATGAAAGAAAGCAAAGAACATAAATACTACACGCCGAATCAATTGCCGTGCAAATTTAGTCACAGTTGATAACTGACAGTATCATGCTATCATCTAACTGACCTTATCATCTATCACTTAACTCCCATAACCCGACTCAATGTGGCTTTCTGTCTCCATTAAAATATTTCCCATTTAAACTCAATCCAATTTTTTCTCACATTATAAATTGAAATAATAAACTGTGCATCTAAATCAATGAGTGTGAATTAATTCTTTCAATAACGGGATAGATACATAAAAACATTTCCTGTAGCAGTATATATTTTGTCAAATTGATTGTAAAGTTTTTTAAACTGAATTATTTTAACTGTAAACAGCCAAAAAATTAAACCACCCGGGAACATTTCTCATTGTGAAGTAGTGTGTTATCACTGCATGATGTCAAGCATTCTTATGCTATAATAAATTACATAATCAACCTTGTTAATGAGATGAAGTTTATACATTTATATTTATTTAACTATGTAAATATGGATGGTAATTGATACCAATCATTAGAGAGATTTAGACCGAGCTACTAATCAATTGGGTAGACTTGCGCAGAACAAAATATGATATCTTGCTCGACTAGCAATATTTCAGAAGTTAAGAACCGAATCCTGCGTCCTTAAAAGCAAAACAAGTCTTAACCTCTCGAGACAAATAACTTATAAATTAAAAACAATAACACTTGATAGCCAGTAACGCTAATTAACATTCGAACAGCTCGTAACAGTTAAAATAAACGACGATATAGCTGTCCACAACCATCCGAAGGGACACTATATCACATGGCACATATGTCTTCAGGGAACCAAGCTATGGTTGCCTGTGTTCTTGTAGTGGAATCGCAATATCCTTCAACATTTTCACAAAGTAAGCGAAGGCCTTGACATATTATAGTATCGTCTTTTAAATCTCATTTAATTTTTTTTTTTTTTCTACTTAACTTTTCCAATCTGAAAACATTATTTAATGGTAGCCTGAACTTTTTGTGTCAGTTTCACAAATCATGGATTCCAATATGAGGTATCTTATTTTTATCGTGTAAACCTTAGGTTAAACGTCCGTGTGCGCAATGCTACGGAAATTTATCTAGCAAGAAATGACTTGGTGGGCTTGAAGAAATGATCAAGTTGTGCTTGATGTGCAGAGTATGGAAATATTTGGAAAATTACTATCTCACGATTTTGTTTGAGATCATTCTTAAAAATTTCAGGGTCAAGATTTACAAGTATTCGTTCATTACATGTATTGTTTTGGTGAAAAGATTCCCGATCGAGTCTTTTCTTGTTTCCATTTGAAACTTGTGAACAATGTACTTTCTATTCAGTACATTGTTCTTGTGTATTTGAATACTGTTGGAATACACTTAAATTTTCTTGTGTATTTGAATACTGTTGGAATTGTAACTCGGGGTTTTGGGTGATCTGCAGTTACAACGGTTTTTCATTCAATATCTTGTGGTTCAGATTCACCTTGTGTGACCTGGTTAATTTCATATTTATGTAGTGCCTTTTGTTGGTTATCTTCACAATCATAATGTGTGACAAGGAGGTCTTGTGGTCCTGTTCGGGGGAAGGGTTTTTATGATTTATGGATTCAAGATGTACTAAAAGAGAAAAGATTCTTTTTAAAAAAACTATTTAAAGATACCTATCTACGATAGTCCTGAAAGGGGATTATGAAATGTTAGCTAACCTATGGTCTTTTTCGTATATATATCGTGTTTCTATAAAAATTCTGTTGTGATAAATGGAGGGGTTAAGGATTGAGCTGTGATGTCTGGTGGTGACAATTGTTATAGATTATGTACTAAATTATTTAGTTTTATTGTTAATTTAATTTTAAGAGTTAAGTTTTGTAGTAAAAGTATTTGGATTTTATGTTCTTTTTAAATATCGTGTCTGTTTTGTAGTCTGTTTAGAGCCCAATTATGGAAAATTTTGCAATCGAAGTGTTGGACAAAAAGGGGAGGGGTGCTACAAAGGAGTTCCAATCTAAGCGTAAAAGTGTACTTGTACTTTGTAGTTCACGATATCTGTCGTCTAGGTAACTTGGAAAGATGTGAAGAATGTAGTTGATGGTGTTTGACTCGTGATTGAATGTGCTCATGTAAAAAATAAAGTTTCTGGTATTGATGAAGAGTTATCTGAATTAATTACTATTGGGTCATTTACAAGGTTGGGTTCGCCTTGGGATTTTGTTTGGGTCATCCACTGTGGAAGGCTTTGCGACGAAGCGGGGAATTTAAGAGATTTTCACGAATTTGTTCAGAAGCAGGTGTTTAACCTAAACATTCGGATGGAATATTTGGGGTTTTTTGTTAGCAAAATTTTTGAAGCGGTGGAGGGGTGCTTTGTATCGTACTATGAGGAAACTCTAAAGGGTTTGATCATTTGTGCCAGTCGGTCATATCTGGAAGTTTGACCGTGAGGGACATGAATATACGTGATTTTGGAGTGAAGTTTTTTTTTCAAAATTTCGAATGGAGCCTGTCATGCTCAGTTTTCTCGCGACAACTGAAAACATAAAATGAAAAAAGCAGAACGATCGAATTTACAATTGCGGGAAAGTACTTAAGAAAACAGCGGGAAATTGCTATTCGCAATTTCCAGATACAAAATAAGACACGAGTAGAGCCGTCTTATCCTCAAATAGGAGACGAGATAATCGCGAAAGAAGAGTACAATTATTCGAACTGAACTAGAGTGAACCTTCAACGGAAAGGTGGACAGCTGGAGTGTCCCAATGGTTCAGACTAAAACTTCAATTCTAGAGTCAAAACGTATTTCCTTTATTAAAACTGATTATTATTGAACTTCTCAAGTTATTTTATTTAATTCTCGAGTTGCTCATCAATTTAATTACTCCCTATTCTCGAGTGTGTCGACATGTGAGTTCCAAATTTAGTTTTCTCGAGTGGGTTTTATGATTGTTATGTTGAGATAAGGCGAGTTTTAGGTTGATCTATCTGAAATGGATCAAAGTTCCACTGTCCAATAAAAAGTAACTTAACGGATTGTTCCGACCCTGTTTTTAACGGCGTTCGTGTATTTTGGAAATCTCGAGACCTAAGTATGGGAATGTTCTTATTTTCTAGAGTGGGGGGATATTTTGGTAGTAGCTTTTAAGCTGTAACGGGTTCTAGCCTCATGTCGCAAGCGAACCGAATTGGCTCCGACCGTTTTTGAGGTAGAAAAACACAAGAGATAGTGTCCCTGACTCTTGAGCCAATGGTTATAGGGCCTATTTTTCTTAAGCCTCATATGTGACCGAAGTAGGCGTTTGTTACATAGTGTATTTATGGCGCTTCAGGGTGTTTTTACGACATCATGACTACGGAGTCGAACCCACTTGACACAGCTCCGGGCTGCATGCCCATTCTAGAGTACCGGTGGTACGGTTCAGCGGGAACGTGTAAACCTTCCGTTTGTACCGTGATAGCTTTTTAGGAAAACTTGAGAAAACTTCCTGGTACGCTCTCCGATTGAGGCCTAGCTAACTGAGTAAGGGGGGGGGGGTAACTAGGGGGACAAAAACACGAGCAAAAAGACAAAAAGCGAAACAAAAACAAGAAAAAAGTATAGAAAAAGGAACAAAAACCATAAAACAAAAAAGACACTGACTTTGATACCAGATCATTTGGATCAAACCTTTATATTAATTAAAAAGTATACCCATACTGTTTTATAAGACCGATCGTTTCGATCAATCTAGCAATCTAAAACCAGTGACATCAATAAGGTGCCCGAGTGGGGGGCTTTGTTAAGGGTTTTCAGATAGATTGCATCCTAGCCAGACCACTAGGAGACTTGACTGGAAAAGGTGACCAGCCGAGTGGGAAAGTGGTTCGCAAGGACTGAGCCGGACCACTAGGAGACTTGACTGGAAGAGGTGACCAGCCGAGTGGGAAAGTGGTTCAGAGGGACTGAGCGGAACCACTAGGAAACTTGACTGGAAGAGGTGACCAGTCAAGTGGGAAGGTGGTGCTGGTGTCAAGTGCCGTGCACGTCAAGCAGACAACCAGCACGGGATCACTACAACAAAAAGAGGACGCACAGGGGTATTCTCAAGTTGGGCAAACGGGTATCGTTAAAATCCACATTACATTATAAGAGATAAGTGTAAAATTGGATAAGCGGAGCCCCATTGTTTTGAGGAAATTTTTACACAAGCAGGCCTGGAAACAGGTCTACGGTTTTCGCTCGAGAGGTTTAGCACCCGGCGCTTAAGGGATTTTTCGGCTTAAGAGGGGGGCTAAAGAGGGGGGAGGTTAGAAGGGGGGCTGGTTAGGTTAGAGGTTAGCGGTTATAAATTGTAAAAAGGGGGGACACATTAGAGTAACTAATTGTTCGGCATCGTCGATTTAGTTACATTAGATATTTACATGCCTTGGTTATAAGAAGGGGATATCCAAATTTAACATCAGGTTAAGGTAGGTACCCTGGTCGGATTGGTAGGGGGAACGGACATAGACCGTTTTTGTGATACCCCATAAGATCGCTAGCAGGGGGGAGGAAAACGCGTGGCAATCGGGTACCAGACATTTTTCGGACAAAAGTTGACATCTGTCAACTTTGAATTTTAGGTAGCTTCATCTCTCTGTTTTTGGAATTTTTTCCTGTTTAAATTTTAACGTTTTGGTGAAAATTTGTTGTTGGTATTTGAACGAACAGGTGATCACAAGATACCTGCGAGGAAGGTAGGGTTTCAAATAGCCTGAAACAACCAGAGGGAGATAAATACAGGGGGTCAGTGTTTGGGTTTTGGCCATTAAGATAGGGATTTTGGGAAAATTTTAACTAGAGCTCAAGTGGTGGTAAACGGTACAGTGGTTCAAGAGTCCTCACAACGAAGAAGAAGAGATCCTATATCCAGACACTCAGTGACAAGTCTTGGGACAGTACCGAAGAAGTCTTGGGACATTGCAGTCTGGGGACAGTCTTGGAGCAACACGGTCTTGGGACAGTCTCGGTACAAAGCAGTCTTGGGACAGTCTTGGGACGGTCCAGTCTTGGGACAGTCTTGGACCAGAGCAGTCTTGGTACGAAACAGTCTTGGGACACTAGTCTTGGGACAGTAGTCTTCGGACAGTAGTCTTGGGACAGTGGTCTTGGGACACTGGTCTTGGGACAGTGGTCTTGGGACAGTAGTCTTGGGACAGTAGTCTTGGGACACTAGTCTTGGGACAGTAGTCTTGGGACACTAGTCGTGGGACAGTAGTCTTGGGACAGTAGTCTTGGGACAGTAGTCTTAGGACAGTGGTCTTGGGACACTGGTCTTGGGACAGTGGTCTTGGGACAGTGGTCTTGGGATAGTAGTCTTGGGACACTAGTCTTGGGACAGTGGTCTAGGGACAGTAGTCTTGGGACACTAGTCTTGGGACAGTAGTCTTGGGACACTAGTCGTGGGACAGTAGTCTTGGGACAGTGGTCTTGGGACACTAGTCTTGGGACAGTAGTCTTGGGACAGTAGTCTTAGGGCAAGGGTCTTGGGACAGTGGTCTTGGGACACTAACAAGAAGTACTGGGACAACACTGAATAGTCTTGGGACAGTAGAGAGGAAGTCTTGGAACAGTATAAGGAAGGGGGTGACGGTACTAAAAGAAAACTAAGACAGGTTGAAGTAACCAATCGCAAAATCAAATTTTCTATCCAATCCTAAAGATACGGTACTGTAGGGATCAAGAACATATAGAATTTTCAAAAAGCTCAGGAAACGTTGTTTTTAGCAAATTGTAAATTTCTTTTAATCAAATTTTGTCAAAAGAGAATTTAATCTTAGAGTAGAATAACTCGTCGCTACGTAAAACGACATCAATGGGTCCAAAGGTAACAAAGAAGAACTTTTCAGTTAGTATGGTCAACACAAGGAGTAATACAGAGAACAGAGCAAAAGAAAGCACGGAAGGGAAACAAGCAAAACCCACCATCGAGATTGAACTAGAGACACCGGATCAAAGTGTGGATGAGGTGGGAAAGAAAACGACAGAGTCAACTCCGATTCCCAATGCGGAAGAACCTAATCCGAAGCCCATTGAGTTCTCACCGATAGACAACGTGGAAGACACAACAGGCAACACGCCAGAAACGGTGAAGGACGAGTCGCAAGCAAAAAGAACGTCTTTTACTGAAAGATTGGCGATAATGGTCGGAATGAAATCGAGAGACGCAGCAGTGGAGGAGACGAAAGCCGAGAAAGGCAAAATATTCGGAACAGTTTCCACGAGAACGATAGACACCGACCAAAACGAAGATCAGATCAGACCGGGAACAGCGACCAACAACAGGACAACCTGTCCCAACAACTGTCCCGACAACAGGACAACAACGGACCATGGAACAGCTACTCTTGAGCTAGGTGATTTGATGGCGAAGCTAGATCAGATAGACGAGAAACTGAAGCACAGCGAAGAGGATAGAGATGAGATAAGGAAGGAAATAAGAAACAACAAATATGAATACCTGGACAGCTATTTCCATCTAGCGAGAGCAACAGAGGAAAAGCTTCAGCAGATGTCGGACAAAATAGACACCACCGATGAAGAGCGAGACAAAAACATCAGAAGTAGTCTTGGGACAGTGGTCTTGGGACACTGGTCTTGGGACAGTAGTCTTGGGACAGTAGTCTTAGGGCAAGGGTCTTGGGACAGTGGTCTTGGGACACTAACAAGAAGTACTGGGACAACACTGAATAGTCTTGGGACAGTAGAGAGGAAGTCTTGGAACAGTATAAGGAAGGGGGGTGACGGTACTAAAAGAAAACTAAGACAGGTTGAAGTAACCAATCGCAAAATCAAATTTTCTATCCAATCCTAAAGATACGGTACTGTAGGGATCAAGAACATATAGAATTTTCAAAAAGCTCAGGAAACCTTGTTTTTAGCAAATTGTAAAATTCTTTTTATCAAATTTTGTCAAAAGAGGTTTTAACCTTAGAGTAGAATTTTGTAGATAGTAATACTGTAAATAGGAACAATTGTAGATAAAAATAATGAGGCGGAGCAGGGTACCGGGGGCTGAAAAAAGATCTACCGAAGCGAAGACAAAGTATAACTCGTCGCTACGTAAAACGACATCAATGGGTCCAAAGGTAACAAAGAAGAACTTTTCAGTTAGTATGGTCAACACAAGGAGTAATACAGAGAACAGAGCAAAAGAAAGCACGGAAGGGAAACAAGCAAAACCCACCATCGAGATTGAACTAGAGACACCGGATCAAAGTGTGGATGAGGTGGGAAAGAAAACGACAGAGTCAACTCCGATGCCCACTGCGGAAGAACCTAATCCGAAGCCCATAGAGTTCTCACCGATAGACAACGTGGAAGACACAACAGGCAACACGCCAGAAATGGTGAAGGACGAGTCTCAAGCAAAAAGAACGTCTTTCACTGAAAGATTGGCGATAATGGTCGGAATGAAATCGAGAGACGCAGCAGTGGAAGAGACGAAAGCCGAGAAAGGCAAAATATTCGGAACAGTTTCCACGAGAACGATAGACACCGACCAAAACGAAGATCAGATCAGACCGGGAACAGCGACCAACAACAGGACAACCTGTCCCGACAACAGGACAACAACGGACCAAGGAACAGCTACTCTTGAGCTAGGTGATTTGATGGCGAAGCTAGATCAGATAGACGAGAAACTGAAGCACAGCGAAGAGGATAGAGATGTGATAAGGAAGGAAATAAGAAACAACAAACATGAATACCTGGACAGCTATTTCCATCTAGCGAGAGCAACAGAGGAAAAGCTTCAGCAGATGTCGGACAAAATAGACACCACTGATGAAGAGCGAGACAAGAACATCAGAAAAGACATGCGAGAAATGAAGCAGCGATATGACGCAAAGAATAGCCAGTAGGGAGTTTGGAAACGAGAACGGATACGATGAGTAGGGACCAGGCTGAGAGCTCAAGTGCAATACATACAAAGTTAGACGCCATATTGAGGAATTCAACGCCACAAGACAGGCCAGCGGCGGAGCGGTTACAAGATAATAGAGTTGACTTCGTGGAACCACAGAGGAACAAACGACAGTCAACGCCGTTACCAGTGCCCCGGGAGGCTGCGAGTACGGCACCGGGGGGCCAAGGCGATTATGAAAAGTGGAACAGCGAACACAACCAGTGGTCCAGGGGACTCCACGACTCACAACAACGTGGGACCGGATGCCATGACATGGGCAAGCACCTGGGAAATGATGAACCGGACTCTAGAAGCCTTCGCCACAAGGAACACCGACTCGAGGGACAGAGGAAGCAACAAATCCAGGAAAACTTTCAAGAAACCAAAAGAATTCAAAGATGATTCAGACGGTTGCATTGACACTTGAGTAGAAGTCATGAGGTTGCACTTGGAACAAGACAACTTGAACGATGAGAGGCAAGCATGCACAACGATACTGAGCAACCTGGAAGGCACGGCATTGAAATGCGTGGTTGCGAAGAAGGAAGAGGAATGCGATACAGCGGTCACAATCTTCGAAAAATCGTTAAATCGATTCGGGTCAGGCATGAAGGGTCATCAAGCGATGATGCGATTTGAAAAGAGAAGGCAAAGGGACGATGAATCGATAGACAGGTTCCTAGATGATCTTGAGAGCTTGAGAGTGACCCGGAAGAATCTACCAATAGAAGGAACTTCAGCATCGCCTCAAAGTACATTGATGGGGTAAAGAGTGATGACTTGAGAACGATGTTAGCAACATACTATACATTGTCGAAAGACAGTGCACCAACTCCAGAAGAGATGAGGCAGAAGTCAAGAGAGTACATGCTAATGAAACCCAAGAAATACTCGTACTCAGACAACAGGAATACGCAAGGGGGGAGTCAGCCACAAAGGTCGTCATGGTACAAGCCCAGAGATGACATGGATAAACGCAGATCATGCGCGAACTGCGGGCCAGCTGACCATCATGTGGCGGATTGCACGACATACAAGCAGGGCGAGAAGAGTTTGGGATATGCACCCGATGAGGAAGATATGAGCCAGATGGAGGAACACGAGTTCTATGGTGGCTTGATCATCAAAATAGGTGCAAGATGCTTCTTCTGCAACCAAGAGGGGCACTTCAGGATGGACTGTCCGTTGTTCTGGGAGGCGGTCAAGAATCAGAGTCATCCAAAACACAAGTTGGCATTAGCAGCGGTACAGAACCAGAGATATAGACAAGGTGAATTTGAAACGAAAAATCTAGAAACACCAAGCGCGGAACTGCCGACGAGAACAGTGAAAGCTGTAACGCAAGTTAATAGTGCAACAGTGGCCACGGCCAGGAACGCCCTAGAGATAAATTATGAGAAGGCGACAGCGGAAGCTATCAATAAAGTGAAACAGGACCTGGCGGCGAAAGAAATAGAACAACGACTAAAACAGGAGATCGATAGACAGAAATTCAATGAGGCATTAGCTGGCTCGAAGTCAACACCAGAGGCTAAAGCGGGGTCCACAAAAAATGGAAACTGCAACACTGTAAAGATGGTGACGGGGAAGCCACTCGGTATAACAAAGATCGGGGCAAGAATAATGTCAATAATCACTGTAGGCGGCCATGAGGTAACGAGAAACTTGAGCGAACCAAGTGACCAGACAATAATGCACATTGATGTGTACGCAGATTACTTGAGTTGTATAAGCCCACAAACGACTTCTAGAGCATTGAGGGCACTACTCACGAGAGGGGGCAGCAAGTCAGTCCGAGTTGATAACAGGTACACAGAAGCTTATGGTCCACATGAGGTGATGCTAAATATAGATGGGATCAACATCTATACGAAAACAATGATAACATGTGATGAACATCTAATAGGGCAAATCTACGTGGGAAAAGAAGAATTGAAAGTGAGATGGATTGGACACTGCGCCATGCTTGAGGAAGATGCAATGCACATCGGGACAGAGGCAGATGTGACAGCACATGTGCTCGACATAAGTGGCAAGAAGACTCAGTTACGTGGGTTACTTGATACGGGAGCGGTCTTGAGTGTCATACCAATCGAAACTTGGGAACGAATGGGCTTCAACAAAAGTGATTTGTTAGATTCAAGAATACGGTTGTCAGCTGCAAACAAAGGGGCGCTGCGGGTGTTGGGCAGAACGCCGATAATAGCCCTGAATCTGGGGAAACGCAACCTGTGGATGAGCTTTCTTGTGGTAGAAAACCTAGATGAGTCTGACCAATTCATTTTAGGCAGAAACATCATCAGGAACTTTGATGTAGCGATTGATCTAAACAACGCAATGTTCAGGATACGGAACCCGGATAGGAGGTACGCAATCAAACCGGTAAATTTCATAATGGCAAATGAGACCAAAGCACCGGTATTCTTGAGTAGGAGAGTGAGGCTAAAGGCGAACGAAGCGGCGATCGTAAGCTTACGAATGAAAAATTACAATGAACTAAGTGACAACAAGCAGGTATGCATAGTCCCAAATCCAAATAGTCAAAGTGCTGCTGTTTTAGGAAGATCCTTCTCGAAAACGAAGAGCGGTCTCTGCGTGAGTGTCTTGTTGAATAACCTTGACATACCAATCACGATACAGAGGGGGAGGAAACTGGGATATGCTTTACCCGTAAAAACTCGATATGAAATGACTGAAAACCATAAACAAAATGAAGTTGTTGATTGTCCCAATCATAGGGACAAAATTTGTATCTTGAGACGATTGAAGAAAATAAAAGGTTCATCAGGTCTTGTGAAGTCACTTAACTCAGAGACAGACGATGGGCTATCGAGCTGTTCGAATTTCCCGGAACGGCCCACACTAGATGAAATGCAGAGTAATAAACCGGTTCTACCGGAAATTGAACATTTAAGAGGCAAGTTAACGGACGAACAGCTCGAAGCCATCAAGAACGTACTAGAACGGAACGAGGAGGTTTTTTCAAGACATAAGGCAGACATCGGGTGTTGTAATTTTGTTGATCATGAAATAGAACTTGAGGAAAACGCAATACCGCACAGGGAGGGGGCGAGGCGCATGACCCCACACAAATCGGATGCGAGTAGAAAAGAGATTGAAACGCTACTAGAGTATGATATGATAGAACCATCCAAATCACCGTGGGCGTGTGGAGTAGTGATGGCCAAAAAGAAAGGCGATCATTTGAGGTTTTGTTGTGACTTTCGATGCCTGAACTCCGTAATGGTGAAGGATGCCTACCCCATACCTAGGATTGATGAGAGCCTCTCGAAGTTAGGTGATGCAAAATTTTTTACGACTCTTGATTTAGGTTCGGCCTTTTGGCAGGTACCACTCAGGAAGCAGGGCAGTGACAAGACAGGGTTTGCCTGCGAGTTGGGTCTGTTTCAATGGAAACGGATGCCGTTTGGTCTTTGCAATGCCACTGCCACATTTCAGCGGTTGATGGCACACGCGCTGATAGGCGTGACGAAGAAGTACGGCAATCTGGTAATGTGCTATGTGGATGAGGTGGTAATAGCGACACCCACACTGGAAGACCACATTGAGAGACTTGACGAAGTATTTGTGTGTATGAAGAGGTCGGGGCTAAAGTGCAAACCATCAAAGTGTGAGATACTCAAGGATTCGATAACATACTTGGGCAGGATGATGGACAGACACGGCATCAGACCAGATCCAGACGCAGTAGAAGCAGTTCTAACTTGGAAATCGCCAAAAACGAAACACCAATTGATGAGCTTCCTGGGTTTTGCAAACTATCATCAAAGAGAATTCATCAAAGGCTATGCAGACAAGGTTTACCCAATGAAACAGTTAATGAGAAGCAAGGGCAAGAAGTTCACGTGGAACAACGCAGCAGAAGAGTCATTCCAGAGAATAAAAAAAGAATTGTGCGAGGCACCAGTATTAGGGATGCCAACAGAGAAAGGGATGTACGTGCTGTATACGGTAGTAGCGATTTCTGGAATTCTCCATCAGGAACAAGAGTGGAACGGGAAAAAAGTCTTGAGACCAGTAGCGTACGGGAGCAAAGTCCTAAGTGACACGGAAATGAAGTACGGGGCACCGAAAGCGGAGATGTTCGCGGTGGTTTTCTTTGTCGAGAATATAGAGCATACCTAGGCAGCGAGCCATTCAAGCTGCGAATCGACAACAGGGCACTAAGCTGGCTGAAAACGTACTCAATGAACCAAAGTTACATTGGGAGGTGGATAGTTCGCCTGGATGGATACAACATGATAATTGAGCATAGAACACGAGACAACGGGACGTCGAAAATTATTTTTGTACGGGGAGTGGGGGTAGGACTTACCCACACCGAAAATTTAATGATAAAGAAACTCAGGGAAGTGAGAGAAACGAGCGGACTGAAACTGGATGGGGAGGAGGCCGAGCCAACCATAAGACGCAATTTCAAAACGAAGTTTGAAATACCAAACGAATACTCGGAAAATATCCTGATAACGGATAGTGACTTCATTCTGTCAGACAGGACTAGCGCAATCCGTATCACGGCGGACATAAGTTTCAAATCAAGACTGGAGGCTAACTTCAAGAGAGAGTACCAGAATGTGGAGTTCCTGTTTAGACAGAGACCGGGGCTGGGAGAAATGGCTGCGCTTCCACCATCAGTAGCACAAGTCCCGGGCAAATACCTGTGCTTCCTAATGACGAGGGTCAATGACAGGAACAAGATCGATCCCGAACACGTGATGTTGGCACTAACAAGACTACATGATTGCAAGAGGGATAACGGAGGTCTCAATGCCGGTGTATGACCCAATCAGGGGCAAATTGAGCCCAAGGGAATTGTACGCTATCCTGCACGTGGTCTTCGCAGAAACTGAGATAATGGTACATCTTCATAAGAAATACTACCTGAGCATCGACTGAGTCGGGTACACGGGGGTCTCGAGTTGGGTATGAGGGGAG